ACTTGCTGATTTCAAGCAAATTAGAAATTTCTCTATTATTTCCCTGAGAATTATAGTGTTGTTGCTTTATGCCTAAGTTCTCTGATTTTGAACACCATTGGCACTTTGTAAGATGTAAGTTTGTGCATTACATGGATGGCTGAAAAACAGTAATGTTTCCTAAGGAGAATTGCTGGAGAGACAATATGGAGAACTACGATTGACTAGTTCTCAGATCAGTTAATCAGGTTTTTATTTTGAGATATATGACAGCAAATTGTATACTTTTATCAGAGATCAAAAAGGGCATTGATGTCCTTTAACTAAGTCTTTGACTGTTGAATAAGTAGTGGAGTATTATCTGATAGTTTGTTAATTGCCTTTCCATCAAGTTAGATAAAACCATTTTCCTGAACTTAATATAACAGTTGTGTGACTGACTCTTGATGAATGTCACTCACTCTCTTTGCCTAACAGACTCTCAGGGTTAAAGGAGTAACCTCACAGAAAGATTTTTTAAAAATACTTTAAAAATTTCCCATTACCAAAGAAGTAGGATTTTTTACAAAAAAAAAAAAAAAAAAAAAAAAAAAAGAGTGTATTGTGGGAAGAAGTTTTTCCAAGCTCAAATTCTCCAGTTTTTATACAGTTATGATCTTTGCAAGGTTGACTTGAACATTCTAAATAGTAGCATTAGAAGTAGTATCCCTAAGAATTTTTCTTAATTGTATAACTACCATTATTCATTGACACGTGATTTATCAGAGACCTATTAATTTCAGGTGACAAATCAGTTCTATGGGAGCATACAAATATAAATCAGACAGCTTCTGCTTTAATTTGGAAAATTTTTAGCTTAGTTCATGTAGCACATGTCTCACATTTGAGAAATTGTGAGAAGCACTGAAAAGTCATGACTGATGATATTAGAAACAATTGTTAGCATCTCATATTTACAAAGTGCTGTGCTAGTTTGGATCTTGAAAGGGACTGGGATTTCCTTCCTACTGCTAATGATGAAAACACAGATTCAAGGACTCTGAAGAAAGATGCAAAGGGCTACAAGAATATAATTTAGAACCTCTTGTTGAACAAAGAGGATGTAGGTATATCAGCATGCACAATCAAGATAGTGTAATACAGTTCCATATTTAGCTAGATGACAACTGGTTACTTATTTTATGACATAATATAGTGAAACTAGAACACATCTTGAAGGCAGAGAAGAAGAGTTAGAACTCTGTCTTAGTCTCTGTGAACCCAGTTTCCAGATATACAAAATTCTCATAATAGTAATGATAGCACCCTCTAAAGATGTAATAAAGATGAAATGCCATATGGAATGAAATTAGCATCTTGCCTGGCATAAAACTAGAGCTTAATTTTACAATAATTTTTTGTTTGCTCATTGTACCTTGGTTCAAAAAACCATCTACTATAAGCTACTGTACACAAAATGTGCCACTGGATTTCTCCACTTTCCCTTTCCATTCTGTACACTGGTCCTGTTACCTTGAGTAGGTTAACAGCCTCTTATGAGACCCTTTCTGCTTTTTTGCCACCTCTAACTTATTTTTCATATAAGAGCCTGTGTGATTTTTTTAAAATATATAATTCAATCACGTTTTCCCTCACTTCAAGCCTTTGATGGTGTGTCAGTATTTTTGGGGTACAAGTCGAACTTCTTACTGAAGCCTACGTTCATGTCAGAGCTAAATTTAATATCAAAGTAAAAGCTCAGGGTCCAGTGAATATAAGGAAAATGCTTTTTCATAGCTCTGGGGTATCAAGACATAACTAAGCTTGGTTCGTTGGCCTGGAGATGGTTGTCTAATCTGTGTTGGTATATAGTTCTCCTTCAGTGCATTTCTGTGTTCTAATCTCCTCTTTTGGTAAAGCCATCGATCACTCATATTGGATTGAGTACCACTAAAAAGATCTCATTTTAATGCAATTACATTTTTAGAGCATTATCTCTAAAATAGTTGTTAGAAGGTACATACTGAGAGTTAGGACTTCAACATGTGAATGTGAGGGGAATATAGTGCAGTCCACAGCAATCTACATTTCCACCTCTGCGCCATTTGCTGTCATTCTGCAAGTCCTATTGCTTGCTGTTTAAATGGTATTCACTGTAGCATGTGTTATGTGTTGCTGAAAAGATGCCATTAAAAATGGGGGAGGGGCTCAGGTGTAGGTGGATGCTCTGTTCATGGTACCCTGCTTTTATTTCTCTGTGTGGCTTCAATCTCTTATCAGTATCCTCCTTTGCTTTATCCCACTGGTCTCTTTATTTGTCCTTGAAAACTGGATTCCCACTGTCCCCCTTTGTCACAGGCTGTTGTTCCAGCTCTTCCATTTCATGTTTGTGCTCCAGACTTGTTTGAAAGTCAGTACTTTGAAGAAGCAGTGCTGAACACAACCCTGAAATTTTTTTCAAAGAATCTTTTCTTACTTGCCTGCACTCCATTCTGAAATATGTTTGTGCTTTCATTTGTTTCTTTGTTGTTTATTTTCTGACTCTTCCTTGAGGCAGGAAACGCCTCTAGAACCTGGCATGTAGCTGGTGCTCCTGTAAATAATTATTGAGTAGATGTCCTAAAAAACATCCCTTTACTAGTCAGGTGCACTTAGAATCTCACTCAGTCTTAAAGTGCAATGTAATCTTATAAGCAAATGCCAGATAATGTCACACACTAAGACTGAGATTATAATTCTGAACATAGAACAGTATTTTGGAACTATTGCAAAAGCAGTAGAATTTAGGTAGATAAGAATTTTGAAATGTATTTTATTATCATGGGATATTATAGCCACAGAATTGGCATAGGCTCATACAGTTGACAATATATTAATAAGAAAAAATAGTTCTAATACTTCTCTTGTATACCCACATCACTCTCATTCTCTTGGCACACCTGTGGTATCAGTATTTCAGTGAAAACTATTGTAAATATAGTATAGAAAATGGCTTTAGTGGATGTTGGTAAACAACAGTAAATTGGACAGTTTCTTTTTGTAACTTTCTAGAAAACTGCTAATCATCGGGTCCAACCTTGTTCCTAGTAAGTCAGCAGATCTGAAGGTCTGCCATCATCTGTACTTAACCAACCTGTAGGCCCTTCTCCTATAACTTTTTACCAACACTGCATTAAATGTATCTTCAAAGTAACTTTTGCTTTACCAAGAATCTGGTAAAACAGCTTATTTGTTAGGACACTGTCAACCCAAGTTGTTTATATATGCTTGTCTCCCAGAGTACTCACTGGTAATAACAGCATTTCTGCTTTCTGATACCTTTGCAAACTGTTGCTAAGGAAATGACAATGGTTTCGAGCCAATTTGAGTAAAATTTCTGTCTCCTAGAGTTCAAAAAGTTAAAAAGTATTTGCTTCCTGAATTACTTATTTCTGGACAAATTTGGTTTTAATGAACTTATTATTACCCTTTGTTGTTGATTTTAGTTTTTCATTCAATTCAAAACTTAATTAACTTCTACCCTTTGAAAGAGGTGCATTTATATGTTTTAAAAATAAAAGCATGTGCTGTAATTTTGTTCTTATACTTCTAAAACCCATGTTCCTTAGGACACTTATTCCATAAATAATTTCTCATTCCTCCTCATTTTCTCTGTCTTGTGTGGCCTAATTGTCAGCCTGTAGAGGGAGAAATGTTTGGATTCATTTTCTTGAGGCTGAATTCAGAGTTAGAGCCTTAAGTGACACCAATTGCACTTTGCCATTTTTGGCATAAATACAATTTCCAAACCTGCATCTAAGTGATATTCTATTTTGATACAAGATGCTATAATATTGAGTTATGGAGTATGTAGCCTCTGGTCATGCAGCATTAAAAATCATAATTTAAGGAAATAATGTTCAAGGGGGAAACCATTTTTATATTTTTATGGGTGGTAAATGCTGAGTTACCTATAATAACTACTGTCACAACTGAACACATTATGAACATTTTATGTCCTTAGAAAGTGATTTACAGATAATACTTTTAATACTTTCTCAAGTCTTTGCATTGGAAGGTGTACTGCTGAATTAAACTTGTTAAACTAGGAAGGATTATGAGTTAAATCTGAACTACAAAAATTTCTAGGTTTAAAGCATATTGCTAAACATGGAAAGTGGTGGTATTTTTGTCTGTTTTCTGCGTCAACAATATAGGCAACACGACCTTACCTTTCCCTCTGGTCTAAATGTGCACATACTTACTCACTCATAATCAAGATTCATTTGGACAGTGGAGAATCTCAGTTGCAGCTGAGAGAAAGTAACATGGAATGAGTTTTAGCTGGAAGGAGCCACTGTGCTCAGCATTCCATTTGATTGCTATAAAAATTCTGTGGGACAGGTGTGGGTGCTGCAATCAAGCAAGCAGTTAAGTAACTTGCTGAAGATCAGACAGCCAACAGGTGGTGCAGCATGAATGGTTGTAACTGACAGAAGACCTTGCCTTGGATCCCAATCACCAGTGGAAGGTGTTCCTATTGTTAAAGGTGACAGTAACCATTTTGGGAGTTATTTACAAGTATCCTCAACCCCCAAAGACCCATTCCTTTCAGCTTTGGTCCTCTTCACTCCTGCATCCTGCTGCTTTGTCCTCTGAATAGCTCACTTCTTTCTAGAAACCAATCAGATGATGGACTCTTAAAAAAAAAAAAAAAAAGGCTAAAAGCTTGTGTGTGCCTGCACTGCCTGTTATTACAGTGCTCAGGTTGATGAATCTATATAGAAACAGGTTCTTGGTAAGTAATTGGGGGTGTCCATTTGCCTGCTCAGGAAACACTGCTTTTCTTTCTTTATTTTTTACTTTCAGCTTGATTTGGATGCACTCTAAACTGAACTTTAGCCTTTTTTCTGTTTTTGAGAGATTCATTATCTCACTGAAAATTCAGAATGCATGTAAAAACATGACATTTCATATCTGTATTCAGTTATTAAATATCTATTCCTCCAAGGCTGTGATGTTGATAATTATTTTTTCACACCTATTTACTTCATACTTACTAGGTCCTGTTACAGAAGTGAAAACTGACATATATGTCACCAGCTTTGGACCTGTTTCTGATGTTGAAATGGTAGGTATCTGAGACACTTTGGAGGTTTGAAGAAAATAAGCCAGAAGTGAGTCAATTAATATTTATTATGTTGTCAATTGCACAAAGCGAATGCTTGATTAAACTTAAAAGACTCTAAAGAGCATGATATTCCATCTGTATTGTAGAGCTATCATTTTTAGTATTTGTTGACTTGGAATTTTTCTCAGCAGAGAGGTATTTCCTTGTACTACCCCCACAGCAAGGCCTTCTATGGAAACTACCAAAGAGAAGGAAATGAGTAAATTAATGATGTACACAACATTACATTTCTAACAGCCTTTTTGCTTCCTCACTGGCTCAGTTGCTTGCTTTCCACCCTCTGATTCTACCCTTTCCCTTTCATGCATAAGCAGGGCAAGAAGGCCAGCATTTATACGGATGTCTTCATCCCTTCAACTATGCTCTCATATATGTACCTAATAAACATAATGACAAGGCTACACTACATTTTTCTTGACCTGAGGCTCCTAATGGTTTGAAGCCCTATAGGTAATTTTTAATACACTTTTGAAAACAAAGTTTGTCTTATTTTAAAAATTGGCTTCAGCTGGGCATTGGTAGCACATGCCTTTAATCCCAGCACTCAGAAGGCAAAGGCAGGCAGGATCTCTGTGAGTTCAATGCCAGCCTGTTCTACAAAGCTAGTTCCAGGACAGGCTCCAAAGCAATACAGAGAAACCCTGTGTCAAAAAAAAAAAAAAAAAAAAAAAAAAAAAAAAAAAAAGGCTTCATCTTAAAGAAATGCCTATAATTTTATGATCAATTATGAAGCAATACCTCTTACATATTAACTGATATTTGCTCTGTTATATGTACAGCCAAATTACCTGGTGTTGTCAGCTTTTACTTAATTACAGTAATTAGTCCTCAGTAACTAATGATTATGGTGAGTTACTTCTTATGCATACAGAAGCTGAAAGGGTCAAGATGGACTTTGTAGTGCATATTTACTCTGAAACTCTCTGTTCTGTGGGATTTAAGATAATCTCTGCTTCTATTACTTTCCGCTGGTGTAGTCTTTTATGATCAGGAGAGGTTAGAACTTACTACTTTTTACATATATATGTATGTAGTCACCTGTGACTTGACTACTTCCCTAGGAATATACAATGGATGTGTTCTTCAGACAGACATGGATTGACAAAAGACTAAAATATGATGGTCCCATTGAAATTTTGAGGTTGAACAATATGATGGTCACCAAAGTTTGGACCCCTGATACTTTCTTCAGGAATGGAAAGAAATCTGTCTCACATAACATGACAGCTCCAAATAAGCTTTTTAGAATTATGAGAAATGGCACTATTTTATACACAATGAGGTAATGGATTTTTCATTTTGAATTCTTTATCCACAACTTCTCTCTTTCTTACTTCTCTCCTCCTTCCCTTCCTTCTTGTTTTCTATCTCTCCATCATAAGAATCTGTAATAGTAATGTTAAAAAGGGGGTTAACTTTACTTCATTGCATTTTTCCATGATAGACTCACCATCAGTGCGGAGTGTCCCATGAGACTGGTGGATTTCCCTATGGATGGTCATGCCTGCCCTTTGAAATTTGGGAGTTGTAAGTGACATTAAAAGTATTCGTTCAAATTTCTGATTATCTTCTTCAAGTTCATAATTGTGTATTTATGCAATTTTAATTATCCAGCATTTGAATCCTTATCTGTGAGAAAATTTTTGCAAGTTTTAATTATTTAAATTATTAATTTTTAAATGACAAAGTGATATCCCCCCAAAAGTCCTATTTTTACAGATGGTTATAGAAGACTGAGTCATAACAAATAAGTCTATGGACACTTGTGTAACATAGGGATTTAGGAGCAATTTGTCTGTGCCAGAGGTGCAGCATAGAAAATGCACTGTGAAGGAGGTATAATTTAACAGTGTCAGCAGAAATTCTTTAAAAGTGGACTGGAAAAAGGCAAATATGTATATATATTCCTGAAATAACCTGAGTTAAAATATCACTGCTAGTAATAATAGCTGAACTGTCACAAATGTCTAGTTCAGGTGGTGGGGGGGGAGAGAATTTATTGGCTGACATTCTGTTGACTACATTAAGGAGTATAATTTTGAAAATTTTAACCCATGGACATGGACTCTTTTGATATCTTTTTTTTTCCTGTGGAAATGGGCTGAAGAGGGGCTGGAGTAAAAGCATGGGAGATCTGGTGCCTGCTGCTTTCATGCAATCAAAAATGGCAGTTGGTTAGACTAGCATGGCAAGAAAGGAGCAAATGTGAAGTAGACGTGTTTGGAAAACTTAGCAGAGATGAAGGCAAGAGGAACACATGAGTGGGTAGTAAAGGATATGAGACTCCCTTCAAGCTCCTTTCTTCGAGATGGCAACAAAATGTGATTGCTCTTGTGAAGTCTGCTTCCAACATTCAATTCAATCAGAATCTCCCAAAAATAGATGTTGGCTTTTACTATTGCTTCAGAATCTTCGTTTCACTGATTGTGAAACCAGTGCCTGCTGTTCTCATTGCTCATTGCTTGACTTAATGAGAATCGGCAGTCACCATTCTTTTTATAACCCTTGTAATCACAATACTCAGTGGGCTAACTTGGGATTAGAGAAAGTCATTCGCTCCCTGACCAACAATTTATTAAGACAAGATACAAACAGAAGTATCCACAGAAAAATACTGGGGCAGAGTTAAAATTATATTTTTACTGTAATAATTCAAAAATTATAAAAGATAAAGATAGTTTTCATCTGAGAAAGTCTTCTCTTCCTAAGACATCTCTGGTTGTCCTCTGAAGCATTCTTGCAGTGACTAGAGCTAAGTTGCTGCTACCTCAGACTTATTTAGGAGTAAGGCACCACTCCAAAGAAAATGGGCTCCAAATAGCCAGTTTAAGCACTCTGTGGATGGGTGGGGGGGTAAGATGGGAGGAACAGGAGAGGTGGGAAGAACTGGGATTGGATTGTAAAATGAGACAAGATTGTTTTTAAAAAATGCTTTTGAAAAAAGGAATCACATTTTTGGAAAGTATATTGGTTTACCTATACCATACTATACCAGCAAACAGCTTTTGCTGAGTAAATTAATTCTTCATACTACTTTTTTTGAAGAGAAATACCACTATTAAATTATACTTAAAATAAGAAGATTGTGAAAGACGATGCAAGAAAAAGATTATTCTATTATTATAGGGTATCCAAGAGATGACTCCTGATGAAAGAAAAAGATAAGAGTATAGCATGTAAGAGTTTCGATATATAGCACTATGAATACACTTCCAGAGATAGACATTGACATGAAACTGTGTAATGTTGGATGATAACTCAAGCTTCGTAGTGTGTTTTCCAAGGTCATCCACAAGGAAAACCTCTCTGGGTATGGGCTCATTTAGTAGGATTAAACAAGTTCACCAGGGACCTCCTGCATTCCAGCCATTTTAGGGATGTTTGTAGGGGAGGATGACACATAATTCATTCCGGTTTTTTTGAACTTATTTGTGCATGAGCCAAGCTATCTGTTCTGGGTAGAGTGGTAAGCAAGCAGCTGGTCTCCATTTGCACTGAACAAGGAATAACAGAAAATGTACTCAAATTGCATTGGGGAGGATTCTTTGAAGATAGAAGGGAAAGTGTCCTAATTGCAAGCTTCTAAAGGTACTGGAACTGGCTGTGTAATTCCCTGGTGAGCTTTGCAGCCAGTATAGTCAGAACTCTGAAGAATGGTTTCCAAGTGGCATGTGCATTGGCCAGAGGCAAAGTCTAAAGCAGGTGACCCCTGGAGAGCTCACTCACAAGGAGGATTTGCTTTGGTTTTGTTTGTGTTACCACAGGCAGTATCTGATACATTTCTAGATGGAAGAGCTGTATGGGATTGTTCAAGTAAGAACAGACAAGAGTGAAAAAATTAGGAGTTTCACAGATGTTTAGGAAGTTTGGACTATCTTCTTTCCAAACTATCTGCCTTGTTTGGAATGGCAATATGACCATCTGCACTGGTACAAATGTAGCTTTATTGTACTAGTTTCATTCTTCACCCTATTCTATCTTTTGACATAAAAACAATAAAATCTATAATTTATTTAGTATCTTGATTTTCTAAATTATGAACATGTTTAAAGTGTCATAATGAGTATTGTTTCCCCTTTTGTTGTCATTGGACATTTGTCACATTAAACGTTGAATTTTAAGATTGGCAAATGAGTCCTGACTGTAAGCATACTCTCTTCTCTTATTAAGATGCATATCCCAAGAGCGAGATGATTTACACCTGGACCAAAGGCCCTGAGAAGTCAGTGGAGGTGCCCAAGGAGTCTTCTAGCTTAGTTCAATACGACCTAATTGGGCAGACTGTGTCAAGTGAAACTATCAAATCTATTACAGGTGAGATTGCATGCAAATACACACCCCCCACAGTGTCTGTGTGGGTATGGGTATGAGGTTTTTTTGTTCACACGTGTGTGTATGCATGTGTGTATGTAGGCATGTGTGTGGAAATATGGGTGTGTATATGTGACCAGTCAAATAGGGTCATCCATTTTTTTTTTTTTTTTTTTTTTTTTTTTTTTTGTCTCTTATTGTCCTGGAGCTTGCTAAGAAAGCAGTCAGGTCCTTGAGCCACAGGGTCCTCTAATCTTTGCTCCCCCATTCTGAGATTACAAGCCTGGATTACCTACTTCATCATGCTGTTTTTTTTTTTTTTTTTTTTTTTCCTTAATGTGGTTTCAACTTAGGGCTTTATGCTTTTATGACAAGAACTTTACCAACTGAGATACATCCCCAGCTCCCTCTTAGTAAGATTTTTAATGGCAAAAATCAATGGGCTACTTGCCATCAGCAATGGAATTTTATCCCATACTTTTCGTTGAAATAGTCAGTATTTTCAGGGGAATTTTTTCCCAGAAGTAGAGCTGATATATTTATAATCTTACATCAGTTTAAAATAAATTCTGAGTTCGTGAGACAGGAGAAATGAATAGACCTTTCTTACATAGAAACAAAAGCCAAAAATTAAATATATTAAAACTGTTTTCAACAAAATATGAGGAAAAGTTTGGCTCTGATTCTGTGGCACTTTTCACAAATTTTTAATATTACCCAATTTTATGGTATCGTTTCTTCTCTTTGTTCCAAAGTGAAAGCAAAATCCAAAGCATGCTTGCAAATTATATTTAGAGTCCACATTAAAATTTTCATACAAGTGGATGGGTAGCTATACTGGTGATTCTTGGATTTTAAAATATGAATAGAAGTAATCTTAAGATTTAGCTTCTGTAGTGAGATAGTTACTTTGTCTCCTTCTGTGGCACTGACCATGCCCATTGGGGGTGGAGCCATGGGCGGAAGTGACCTATGGAAGGAGGTCTGAGGAAGAGCCAGGGAATGCTCTCTTGCTGGCAGGACTCGGACAGGAGAACATCCGGTAAAACTTGCTGGTGTTCATCTGTCTAGGTTGTAAGTTATTTCTCCCTAAATAAACATCTATTCGGCCTATTTGTTTATCCTGATCCTTATTTAACCGCAATAAGCTTCTATCACATCTAATGAGAAAATTGGCCACTTATAGCTTGTTCCAAAATGGTGTTTTTTCCATACACATCTTTACCAGGAATAATTAATGATATTTATCTTAATACACTTTTAATGCTATACCAAAATATCACAAACTGCATATTTATACCTGCAACAGACTTGCTTTTCAAGCCTGAGATCTGGAAAGACAAACGTTAGGGTGTCAGCAGACTCAATGTTTGCTGAGAGCTTGGTTCCTGGTACATGGAATAGTCCTGTCTCCAAGAGTCCTCACACCTGGACACATACAGGGAAGGATTTCTAAGGTAGATTGTTTTATACAAATGCTAATGCTTCTCTTGACTGCTCCATCCTCATATGCTAACCATCTATCAAAGACCAGTCCTTAATATTACCATATTGGAGGTTAGGTTTCAAAATGTGATTCCCCACTCCTCTTTTTGATACAGGATCTCACATAGATCAGGATGGCTTGACACTTGGCTTTGTAGCCCAGGATAGCCTTACAATGGAATTTATTCAGCTTCAGCCTCCAGAGTGCTGGAACTGGAAGTGTCCCATTGTGCCAGGCACACTCTGTGATTTCTTTAAAAACCAGTATTTAGACAAGGTGGTAGTTAAAATGTAGTCAGAAGTTATTATCTCATAGGAATCATTAACAATTTCTTCTTGTATTGAATTCTCATTACCTGTGGAGATAGTACTGTTACCATCTTTATTCCTCTAATGAGGAGTATGTAAATATAATGTACTTAAGTAACTTGTCTGGCTGCCATGAGCCCCAAATTCATAGACACTCTGAGTTCTGTAAACTTTCTTAACAGGCCCTGAATGTCACTGTATTAGGAAAAAAAAAAACAAAAAACAAACAAACAAAAAAAAAAAAACAAAAAACAAAAGTGGAGTAGTTATTGCAGTATCTTGAACAATGGAGTGAAATGAGAGAGACTGCTTTTTGTTATTTTAAGGAATGTATTGATAATGCACTGATCTGAAGGGGAATGAGTCTAAAAGAAACAAGGTCATGGAAGCAGAGTGGAATGATGCTTTCCAGGCTCACAATTTCAGCCTAGCAAAATAAGTCATCCCAGGTAGTTATGACCACCTGATGAATACTGTTGACAGTTTGTAAAGAGGAAGGATTTCAGATGTTTCTATCACAAAAATACAGTAAGCAAGATGTTGCAAAGAAGCTTGTGAATCGGATGGATCCTCTGTGACAGACTATGTCTTATCATTTTTATTGATGAATACATAACCTCCAAACTAATCAAGTAGTATATGCATTAAATATAGGCAGGATTTTGAACATACTTTATACCTCAAAAATGGTTTAAGAAGTAGAAGCAAGTGACAAGAAATGAGACTTTAATTCTTTTTTTATAATCATTTTTTATTTAGAAACAATCTTATTTTACATATCAATCCCAGTTCCCTCTCCCTCCCATCCTCCCATATCCCCCACTGACTCCCACATCGCACCCCCCATCTACTCCCCAGGAAGAGTGAGGCCTTCCATGGGGGATCATCAAAGTCTGTCACATCATTTGGGAGAGGGCCAGGCTCTCCCCCTGTATCTAGGCTGAGAGAGTAGCCCTTCATAGGGAATGGGCTCCCAAAGTCCATTTGTGCACTAGGGATAAACACTGTTCCACTGCCAGAGGTCCCATAGACAACTCAGGCCTCCTAACTGACACCACATTTAGAAGGCTTGGTTTGGTCCAATGATCGTTCCCCAGTAGTTGAAATCAATTCATGAGACTGTCCATTGTGAAATATTTTAGCTCACTGTCTCCTCACTTGAAACTGCTTTTTATAAATCTAAACACCCTGTTATGAAATTGCTGGTACTGTTTCTCTCCCCCAAACTCTGATTTATTTATTTATTTTTAGCTTTCAGTTTTGAGATCATAATTAAAACATTTCTCCTGTGCCTTTCCTCCCTCCAAAACTTTCCATATACCTGTTCACATTCTACTTCCAATTCAGGGCCTCTTCTTTCACTAATTGCATATATATATATATATATATATACACACACACACACATATATATATATATATACACATATATATATATATTTCTAAATATAACATTTTCAGTTGATGTAATGTTGTGTGTTTGTTTTCACAAACTGGTGTGCTCTTCCATGGGGAAGACCACCTCTCCCACTCTTAGCTTGCCTCAGTTCACTATATTGCTTTGTGTATGGTTGAGGTCTTATGGGTTTTTCTCCTTCCAGTCTGACATGTCTATTGGTACTGTCCTTATTCAGTTCACAGTTAGACAGTTAAGATGGTGAGAAATGGGTATAGCTTCTATTATTACTAGGAGACACAAATTAGGAAACACAGGCTCCCACAACAAACCTCCTGGTCCTCTGGCTCAGTTACAACATTTGCAAATTCCAGTGTCTTGTGTCATTTCTATACCTGTCACATGCATCATCATTTTGGGAATATCCTTCTTACATTAATTATGAAATAATGCAATGACCTCCTAATAAGTACCTCCGCTTCTTGTGACCTTCTAAATTGTGTTGATTTTCACATGTGTTGGTTCGAAAACACATCTGGGAGTAGAGATTTATAAATCTTTGTCTTAATTTGTGAATATTCACTGGACATTAAATAACATTCTCTATCTATTCCTTCTAAGAAAGCTGGTTGTCAACAGCTACCAGAAAGTTTATTGTTTATTTACTTCTAGGATTTTTAAAGTTATGTCTCTTATATCTATTTGTACCTTTACTTAGGTATGGTCACTTAGAAATACAATTAATGAAACTTCTCTCTATACTTCTGTACATATACAGGTATGAGATATGTTTGAATAAAATATATTCATATTTACATAGTTTTATAGAAATTTATGTATTTCATGTCTTTCCAAAATTGAGCTTTTCGTTTTCAGTGAATGTATATTTACATTGTTTCATTTGCTTTTCTATAAATAACAAGCCTAAATTCTGCTTTATTAAATTAATTTCTATTATTTTACATACCAATCCCAGTTTCCTCTCTTTCCTGTCCTCCTTTGCCCCCCATTGTTCCCCATACCACACACCCATCCACTCCTCAGGGAGGGTGAGGGCTCCCATGGGGGATCAACAAAGTCTGTCACATCATTTGTGACAGGACCGAGGCCCTCCCCTGTGCATCTAGGCTGAGAGAGTAACCCTCTATAGGGAATGGGCTCCCAAAACCCATTTATGCACCATGGATAAATACTGGTTCCACTGTCAGAGGCCCCATAGACTGCCTAAGCCCACCAATTGACCCCTACATTCAGGGGTACTGATTCAGTCTTATGCTGGTTCCCCAGAAGCAGAGATTCACAGCTAACAACTGAGCTGAACTCAAGATTGATGAGCAAAGGGGTAAAACAGCTGACCTGAGGAAGTGGGAGCTCATAAACCCCAGTCTAAATTCTGCTTTTCGATTGATATGTAAAATAAGAAAAAAATAAAAAACAAAAATTAAAAGAAATTGCTGACGATTGTGATTGGATAGATTGCTAAGTAGGTAATGTGTTCATTGCGAAAGCATAAGAACCTGAGTTCAGATTCCTAGGACCCACGTGAAAAGCCAATTGTGATGTCATGTGCCTGTAATCTTAGCACTGCATAAGCAGAGATAGGAAGATCCTGAGGGTGTGTTGGACAACCAGTCTTTAGAATTTTTATCTTTAGGTTCACTGACAGACCAAGTCTCAGATAGATGGATGGATGAAAGGATGGATGATGAATGGATAGATAGATAGATAGATAGATAGATAGATAGATAGATAACACAGCTACAGAATAAGTCACACAATGCCCAACATTGATTTCTGGCTTCCACATGAAAATGAACATACAGTGTGTGCAAACACATGTACATATTCATAAACCACACATATATGCACATATTGAAAAATAAAGCAAATTGCTTTATCATATTTAACATTTGAAACAAAAACACTGTCATCTCTTGAAGTCATAGCCCATTATTAAGTTGCTTAATCTGTACATAGAAAACGTAATTTTTCTGAGTAATGATGATGTTCATTGTCATCCTCTATTTTGCTTTCTTACCCACAGGATGGAACTATGCATTTCTCATTGAAATATGCAGAAAATATAATTCATCAGCTAAGAATGCTTTGTTAGTCTAACATATGATCATGAAGCAACTGAATAATTTACTGCAACCCAATAATGTATTTTCTTTATCTTTCTGGCAGGTGAATACATTGTTATGACAGTTTATTTCCACCTCAGACGGAAGATGGGCTATTTTATGATTCAGACTTATATCCCATGCATTATGACAGTGATCCTTTCTCAAGTTTCCTTCTGGATAAATAAGGAGTCTGTTCCAGCTAGAACTGTATTTGGTAATTTCAATTTATTTCTTGTTCACATTACAGTTTTGATGGTGACTCATAGGATGAGCGAATCCTTTTATATTTCTTAGAAACTATTATTACACATTAGTATACCAAACCAAACTGAGTAAGGAACTATTTGAGTACTCATTTCTAACTGGTCAATATAACATACTGCTTCGTGGAGAGATAAGGACAACATGTCCCTTTCTGATGTCCTGTCAGAATTCTGTTTTTGAGAACCAGTCAGGTGAAAACAAAGGGTAAATGTGGATATAATGTTACTTTCAGTGATATTCTTGAGCTGCTAGCTTAATGCTGTGTAATTGAATTAACATTATGTCTAGGTATTAAAATGAAATGCATAGACATCTTAAAATAAGACAAATAAAAGTTATGCCTGACTGCACATGAAAGCCTGGTTTTTAGTGAAAGGAAACAAAATGCAAATGGATTAAACACATTGAAAGGAAAGGTATTCTGTAGGTAGTCTTTCAGCTCAATGTATTTTATATATATAATTTCTGTTTTTTTCCTATTGTGGTTCCTCTATAGTATTCTAAATGATAAGCCTCTTAAAATGTATAGGCTTAACATTTTTGTGTTAAATAAGTCTTTTCTAGATCTGGGGTGCTTTCACATCATAACATCACTTATAGTTAAATCTATTTAGTGTAATAAAGTTATCTATTCTTAATTTTTTTTCCACTTGATCAACATCATTCAGTGTTGGAAAAAGAATGGAAATGATCAGACTTCTTTCAGAATGGAAGCATAAGTCTCCTAAGATATGCTGATTTCTCCCTTTTGCTTTTCAGTTAGATTTAACTGAGGGCACAACATTTTCTGTCATACAACAGCTGCAGGAAGGCTGGTGAGGAATTCATGTGAGCCTTTCACCTTACTTTGCTATAATGGCAATCCCTAACAAAAACAGCTCAGGGTGCCAAGGTTTACTTTGGCTCATGATCTCAGAAAGATTACAAAGCAGAATTAGCAGCACTGGTCCTGGAAGGAGCATCAGAGTTCTGCTGTCACTGCTGTGGAGAGAAAGTAGAGAACGTCAACTGTTGCCAGGACTGAAGCAACTTTCAGTGGCCGTCATTGATAATCAGTCAGTCTGGCCCTGCCTCAGAATGGTTCCACAACTTTCACCATACTGAAACGAGCTGGGAATAGGGGATTCTCTGAGAACATTGTAGATTCAAACCATAGCATTCCCCATCTTCAGAGACAGGTGTGTCTTGTCTTCAACAAACCTAAAATCCTCCTACAATGTTATTTCTTCCACACATACCTAGTGTCTCTGTAATGCTGACGGTATGGGAATTATGGTTAAAACTCAAACAGGGAGTCAGTGTCAGAGGTAGGGTTTGGTTCAAGCTACTTCATAAAGTTATGAAAGTTTAATTAAATGACTGCACATTGCAGATGTAGAATAAATGTTAACTGCTAAATATAGATATGAAAATGAAATATGGAAAATACATCTAAAACTCAAATATGTCACTTTCTCTATCCTCTAATTGAGTTAATATACTTCCCCTTCAAAACTAGTGAAGATTTAAAAAACATTGTTATTAGTTTTTAAAAATGTTTCTTATAATATTTTTTGATAATATTCACCATTCCCCACTATTCCATCAAACTACTCCCATATCCATCCTCCACCTTCTTTTCCTACGTCTTTTTAAAAATAATAGTTCACAGAGCCCCACTTGTGCTAACAATATACTTACAGATGACTTATAAGAGATTGATTTCATTCTCAGTTTCCTTCATTTTGAAGAAAATGTATTTCTGGTGTGTTCCCCATATAGTTTGAGATTCTTGGCATTATTTGTCTTATTTAGTACTCATCAAGATTTTGAAGTCCTAACACATTATGTTCAGAAGCAGCCAGACAGGGCAACTGAATGTGATATGCAAGTCCTTCAGCTTGCTCTAGTGTGATTGAAGAGACAGGCAGATCGTTGGAGCTCACTGGCAAGATGGTGTAGCCACAATGACGAGATCCAGGCCCTGTCACAGAAATAAAGGTGGTAGGGAAGACTCCTTGTATTTTCCTTGGCATCCATGAGAATGCCACATATACACATAGACCTACCCACAGGCATTATTCACATACAAATCTTAAAATTTTTGGATCTACACACACACACACACACACACACACACACTTCTGTCTATAATGTGCTTAACACATTATATATTAAAACAAGCTGAATTGCTTCATCTCTTAGGGTTGCTAAGAGGATTGAATGCATTAATCTGAGTAAAACATTTGAAAAAATCCTTAGCACACAGCACATATAATTTTATTATTGTTGGTTGATGAATCTACTTGCCCATGAGAAATATTCAATAGTGTGGGAGAAGGTAACATCCATTGCAGCTGATCTCAGCTAATGTTTCCTCTATAAACAAGACAGTACAAGGAAATTAAGCAGTATAGCAAAATGCTAGGATTACTAGTGCCAGCACGGAGTAAATAAACACTTTGGGGTCCTATTACTTAACATTCACAATAGTTCAGCAAGATAGGCATTCTCAGTTTTTATAGATAAGGACAACAGTGCAAAGATATGAAACTTTTATCAAGTCATGTAATTCTAAGAGGTGCACCCAAGACAATGTACATAACATCGAGAATTCAGTCATGCTATCCTTGCAGCAGGTATTGGTGTGTAGAAGTAGGGAAAAGGACTTGTGAAAAAATTCCAGAGCTTCTGATTGAGGAATCTTTGCCATTAGGTTTTTCTCATTTAGAATATGAAATGTTCCTGGCTGTGTCTAAACCTAGATTAATATTAGTTTTGATCAATCAAGAACATCACAACTATGATTAAATCTTCAAATCATAAACTATTTCACAATTATAATTATTAGACTTGTATCAAGGGTGTAGAATAGCTTTCTCCTTAGGGAAGTAAAGCCCAGTGTGGTTAGGGTCATTCATTATTTACTCCATATGAGATTTAGGCTAGTATTGCTCTTCCTCAACTCTCATCTCTCCTTTCACTTACAAAGCTACAGTGAACTGGCTCACAGAAAACACCAGGGTGAGCAAAACCCTGAAGCAGCACATGTCTGAAAAACAGAATATGTGAGTTCTTTCCAAAGGCCTTCTATCTTGAAATTTGTCTGACTCTATTTTTTTTTTAATTATTCCACTATGGTTAAACATTAAACACAAGTAGATGCCAGCTGGCATATTGAAATCATTGCTATTTCATTTTCTAGGAATGGCCAGCCAAAAATTCACTCTTGTGTACAATCTTAGCCTACTCCATTTCCTCTCCCCACTCCTGGGCCAGCCAATATGGTGCATATTCAGCAGTCTTAATGCACAGACTGGCATCAATACTTGAACACACAAAAATAATTATGTCTTTGAAGTGTTTTCAGGGTTAGATTCTTATCAAAAGAGTTAGCTTCGGTTTTCTGTTGATCAGTGCTTATTCTGCCAAGTACTACACCTGATGAAAGGGAATATGCACATTACTAAATTCCTACACAAGACAGAGAACTTTTAATGTCTTACGAGATGGCAAATTTTAAACCAAACTTTGAGCCAATTGTTCTTGTCAGCCAACATTCCCAATTTTGTCAACAGTTACAACATAGCAACCATACTATCTAGAAGACCTTTTCATAAACAAAACAACCATGAAAGAAAAATGTAAGATATCCAGATGTAGCATGCTATTGTGTTGGTATAAGCAATGTGATTTAAGGTAAGCCATCAACCTGATTCTGAACAATTGAATGTCCTCACTCAATTCATAACTCAGTAATGACCTTAGTATTTTGTTTGTTTAATGTCATCCAGAAAATTTTTTCACATGACAGTAGGCAAGATGAAGACAGTTTCTTTTATTGGCAGGGAAAAAAATTAATTAAACCAAGCACCCACAACAAGAACAAAGTTTACAGTAACAAAGGGACTCTTAACCTTCTTGTATTTAAATTTGATTTTCCTGGTTTTTTTTTGTTGTTGTTTTTATTTTTGTTTTGTTTTTTTGCTTAGTTTTTATGAACGCTGGCTAGTATTGTCATTTGGAACACATACTCTTATGTTTTTACTTGCAAATATGTTGAACATCATTTCTGTCACATTAGGAGAAAAGTACAGAACTTGTGGAACACTTTTGAATCATTAATAGTCCGTTACAGATAAATTGTTAGGAGTGAGAGGAAATATAATTTATCTTTAAACTTTGCAGCTTAAGTTTCTGATATTACTTTAGTAGTTGATTACTTATTTCACAGCATTTTGGAGAATTGTACCTTCCCTCTGATATTTAAACTGAGGCCTAATTGTTTTAAGGTCTCTTTCAGAAAAAAAAAAAAAAAAAAAAAAAAAAGCCTGACAAATTCACTATGTGCCAATGTGCCATTGGTGTAGATATGCAGTTAATCTACCTATTTAATGGAATAAGGTTTTTTTAAAATGTACTTCAGGGGGAGCTGAAGAGATAGCTTAGGGGTTAAGAAGACTGCTTTCTCTTTTAGAGAACCCATTTGGTTCCAGCATCCAAATCAATAGGCTTATAGCAGCTTGTTACTCCAGCTTCAGGGAATCCAATAAACCTCTGGTTTCTGACATTTGTGGAAACACATCATACATACATGTTCCTATACATATGCATATACATACCCATTTGTTATATATACATATATATTCTCAAAAATATACTCTAGGTTAAAAAATGCTTAAAATTATTAAACATCTTATGTAATACATACTGATACACAGTTTTAGAATGTTATTTTAAAATTTGTAGCTCATGTGATACAAAGATGCTTCAAACTTCCAACTTCTAATAACCAATAGCTTAGGGAGTGACTGGAATTAAATAAAAAAGGTTGGAAAAAAACAACAAGTTTTGTTAGTGGGCATCATTTATGATGCATCTAGAACTGCATGACTGGTGATCCCTGAAGCAATATTAAACATGGTGCCTTTTAAGGACACTCTACTCAGTCTAATTGGAAGCAGCATGTGCTGGATTTTTTCCAAAGACCTTGTATCTTGAAATTTGTCTGACTCTAAGTTTGCTAGCTATTCCAATATGGCTCAACCTTAAACATAAATAGACATCAGCTGGCATAATGAAATCACTGGTTTTGTTTTTTAGGCATGATCTTAGATTACTCTTACACTCCTCCCTGGGGTCACATATGTGGAACATTAAAGGGGTAGTACAAGGCCAAATATAATCAGAGTTTAAGTTGAAGATAACAGCATTATTATTTCTTCAAATCAAAGTATGATTATTCCTTTATTGTTGCAAAAATTCCTATATTTTTTATTTGAACATGGATTAATTGCCTTTCAACTGGGGGTTTACATATAGAGTTAAGATGTTTTTATCATTATTATCTTCACTGTCACTTATGCCACTACCATCACCATCATCCACAGGCACCTGGATATATCAACTTCAGGACCTATCCTATGAGTTATGTAGAATGAGTACAAATGGATATAGTAAGTCCACCAGGAATGTCAGGGTAACCTTCCCTCCCTTTTACCCTCTCTGCCCTCTCATGTGCACTCTAAACACCCTCCCCTCCCATCCCCCCACCCCAATTCCATGTGTAGGGGAATGCCATCCAGTTGGGGTCATGTAGATTTGACAGGTCCTGTGAAGTAGGGACTAGGGCTTCTCTCCTGTCTCTAGATTAAGGCAGTTATCCCTCCATGGGGGATATGTTCGCAAAGTCCTTTTGTGCACCAGGGATACATCCTGGCTCCACTGTCTGAGGTCCCTTAGACTGCTCAGTCCTTCTGGCTGAGACCCATATTCAGGGGGGCCTGAGTCAGTCAAAGGGCTCTATCTATTCTTAATGCAATTATTCTGCTTCAAGTTGTATACTGATGTGCGGTAAATGCCCACATTTGACAAATTGTTCCAGATAAACATTTAATCAGAATATATTTGTAGTTTTGATAAACAATGAATGCATTAATTTTATTCAGTATATTATAGTCATTTAATGATAACTTATATAAGACTTGTGATTGTGCTGACAATAATTGCCAGTGGTAATGGGCCTTGCTTACCTGGTATATTCCTGCTCCCATTTTGAAAGCCAATGTGCCCGAATTCCCATTCCTGTTTGAGAATCACCATTTCAATGAATCATCCTTCCTGAGAGGTCTATATACTGATTCCTCAGGTATATTGTTTCAGCTTCAAATATAGAATCACTATAAGTTTTACATATTTATTTTTATAGTAAACTTAGAGTGTACAAAGAAGTCCTAATGACCCTTCCAACCTTGAACCAAATCACACTAAACTGATGATTACAAAAGCCAGGAACTGGACACAGCTATTCTTACTCCAAAACCTGTGCTGATTTCACTGAAGTAGAAGGATCAAACCCTTTATCAGAGGTGGTAGGTTTCACTTAGTAATAACTTTGTCAACCTCATCTCACCTCCTCCTTTTGGGTTAGCTTGTCTTTTTGTAGATATGGCAGTAAAATGCTTTATCTCTTTGATTTTTCGCATTAAAGGAATAACGACAGTCCTCACCATGACCACCCTAAGCATCAGTGCCCGACATTCTTTGCCCAAAGTGTCCTATGCAACTGCCATGGATTGGTTCATAGCCGTCTGCTTTGCTTTTGTATTTTCGGCTCTTATTGAGTTTGCTGCTGTCAACTATTTCACCAACATTCAAATGCAGAAAGCCAAAAAGAAGACATCAAAGCCTCCTCCAGAAATTCCAGCTGCTCCAGTACCGAGAGAAAATCATCCAGAAGCTTCTCTTCAGGTATTTGATTTCATCTCCTTCTTCCTAAGGTTTTAGCTGCTTGGTCAAATCTTTGTTGTAGGTAGAAAACAAAGAATATGAAAATATCATTGACAAATTGTAAGAATGGCAGAAATCTAGGAAAATATAAAACTATAGCTTTTGCATTGATATTTTAGATTTGCAATGACTTTAGTTACTTGAGAATGTCATAGAACGTGTTTTGATAATATTTACCCCCATTATAACTTCTCTTAGGTCCAAACCCACTTTCCCTACACACCCAACTTTGTATCCTTTTCTTTTTTAAAGCCATCATGTACAATTTGGATTGCGTGTGAATTCTTTGATATGTGGCTTTTATTGGAACTCATTCTACTTACCACGGCATACATTTTGAAGAGAATACCAACACTTCCTCTTCCAGAGGCTATCAGTTGCCAATCCCCTTTCCCATGCAGGGATTTGGTCCAATTTGGGCTTGTACAGTAATTGGGAGTTTGTATGTGCAGCCTTTACTGCTGCATCCAGGTAGCAGTGTTTCCTGGTAGCCATTCATCACCCTGGGCTCTTGTACTTTTCCCATTCCCTTAGCCAGAATAACCTTTGGGTCTTGGAAAGAAGAGATGTTGATATAGGTATTCCATTTATGGCTGAGAATCCCACGGTGTCTTATTCTTTGCACCTCGGCTATTTGTGTGTCTCAGTGTTAAACACCACCTACTGAAGAAAGACGTCTGTTTGATGAAGGTTAAAAGATGCATGGTGCTGTTAGCAAGTCATAGGGAGTCAGTTTAACACTGTGGACATTTAGCAGCACATAGAGATTATGACCTATCTAGTTACAGGTTCTTGACCCAAGTAATAGTGCCAAGTATAGGGACTTTTCATCTTGTGTACTGGGCCTTAAATCTAATGAGAAAGTGGTTGGTTACGCCCATGTTATTAGTGTCATCGTTGGGGGAATTGGCATATTTTCAGAGCCTAAGGGCTCATATCTGGGAACTATGATAAATATTTTTCTTCTTAGGTAACATAATGTTTGGAGGTCTATGGGACCTCATTGAGCAGGAACTCTGTAAGAGATAACCCATTTCTGACAATAAACGTTTTTATTTGTTAACCTGTTGTATCTTGTAGAGGTTTTTGTCAACACATTATTTAATTATTCTTACACACAAATGTATGTATGTATGTATGTATGTATGATGTATTTTAGCAAGCCTCTAGAGTAATAGGCTTGAAAGGCCTTAAGTGTCAGTTATCTTTCTCCATACAGCCAACCCTCCCAGCCACTAACCTAAACTACAACCATTGTTCCTAATATACTGATATTTTAAAGCATTGTATATTGACTTGAAAGCCTAATAATCTGTACATGACCTTGATCTATAACATAAGGCTTTCTTTCTTTCTTTTTTTTTTTTTTTTTTTTTTTTTTGCTTGAACGTTTCTTTCAGTGTTGAGTATTTTTTCATAGAAATGACTAAAATGGAACATATACTGGTAAGAGGAATGGTGTTGAGGGATCTGCAAAGTCCACTTTTATAAAGTTCATTGACCAAAGTAAAATGGTAGTTCTTAACATGGCCCTGAACTTTGTTTGGGACTGCTCCCTGTATTAAAGAAAACAATCAACAAAAATGATACATAATTATAGCTGATATACATTCAAATTTAAAAGACATATCTAAGAGAACATAGAAAACATAACAAAAACAACTGTGATTTTTTTTTTACATGTGACTTGTCAAAGATTATTTTTTAAAGTTAAACCTCTCTTCCACATGGATTCTTACTGAATAAAATTAGCAAAATGTTCAAGAACATGGATACTCAAACAGACAGACTTTCTCTCCCCCATTTCTTCTCCTTTCTCTTCCTCTTCCACTATTCTGCTATGTCCCTCAGACTCTCTTTAATTTCCTTTTGTTCATCTTCTTCCTTTTTATGTAGATGGATCCCTGTGGTTTTGTACTCTAGCCAAATGTAATTTCCATGAATGACACTGTAAAACTGCTTGGTCTGCATTTACCCAAACCAAAATGTAATAGAAATCATCAACTGGTTTTCCCTCTACTAAGTTGTATCTCATCCCTTCATTTATTCACTGATTCATTCAAAAATAAATACTTAATGCCAGCTATGGGCCAGACATTGAACAGAAGCTAAGAATCAATAATGTATATTTTTAAAAGTCAGCAAATATCCTACACTATAGAAATTTCATCTATTTCTATGTGGCAAGGTAGTGGGGGCAGACAGTTTCTTTTAATGTAAGTCCCAAAACACCTGGAGAATTAAATGGCGATGTTGTTAAGGGCCAGGAAGCCTCTAGAGATCAGGACTCTATCTTTGCAGTGTTAACCCATTCCGTGATTTTAGTCTTGGTTCTGCTCCCACAGTCTCCAGATACTACAAGAAAATCTAAGGAAATAAATGCTTTTCATCATGTAGCTTACATAGTTAAGGTTTTCTTCTAAGTGAATTCATCAAGATTTTCAAAATGCTTACAATGCATTTCACACTGTTTTCAGTTTCAAAAGTGACTGTTCATGTTTTACTCTTTTCCTACTTCCCATAGGTAAAGTTACAGCTTCTGTCTTTTGTTGTTGTTCTATTGTCTTTTGCTTTGCCCTATTAAAACTATGTAATCTATTTCAAGCACTTTTAAGTCACTGAATCTCAGGTTTATTTTACTGCTTATTATTTTCTGGTGATTGATTCATGAGTTAAATTTTACTTATGTTTTTCCGAAGGTTAAATTTGTTACATTTTTCAAGAAACTTGAGTATTCTTCAAATTAATTTAGTCTCATGCCTTATTATTTAGGAATAAAGTTTTTCTTACTGAATTCAGATATCTTCTGTATAGAATTCTATGATTTATAATTTTGAGATTAATATTATTAGGATTATTTGCTGCATATTTTGAAGTAACATTGTTTTCCCTCTTGAGATAAGAATATAGAGATAATATTAAAATTTCTAGGTGTGTTTTTTTTTTTACTTAACTCTAATTATTGTGTTGCATCTCTTCAGAAATATTGATTTGAATAATATTTTATTGTCCCCTGGTATATGATTTGTGATTAAATTATAACTTTGTATTTAAAGTTATTATTTTTAGCAACAAAGTTGATTTTACTTAAATCAGTTATTTCACTTTTTAAAAGACCCTTATAGTCTTCAGTTTTTGAAATATGTACAAACTTGTTTCATAAATACTGACATATTGAGCTATTTTTTCTTATTTATCTATTCTTTATCCATTTCTTAAAATAATTTTATTTTGCATACCAATCCCAGCTCCCTCTCCCTCTCTTTCTGCTGCTGCTCCCACCTTCTCCCCACTCTGTCCCCCATCTACTCTTCAGAGAAGGTGAAGCCTCCCATCACTTGAGGCAGGACCAAGGCCCTCTCTCACTGTATCTAGGCTGAGAAAGGTATCCCTCCATAGGGAATGGGCTCCAAAACCCAGTTCATGCCCTAGAGATAAATACTGGTTCCACTGCTAGTTGCCCCACAAAATGTCCAAGCCACCCAACTATTGACCACATTCAGGGGGGCTAGTTAAATATTATGCAAGATTCCCTAGCTGTCACTCTGGAGTCAGTGAGCTCCCATGTGTCCAGGTCAGCTGTTTCTGTGGGTTCCCTAGCATGGTCTTGACTCCATTGCTCATATTATCTCTCCTCTCTCTTTATGACTGTTGTTTTATTTTTTAAACACATATGAGAGTCAATGATGCATAGCGTTTACAACTTTATAACTGTATTATTTCTGCATCAATCAGTGAATCCAATCGCACAACTGTCCTTTATTCTTTCCCCACATGAATGCCTTTCCCTTGAATTCTGTTTGACTTTCAATTCTAACTGCCCTCTCCTCTGTCCTTTCCTTCCTTCATCCTTCTTCCCTCCCTCTGCCTACCCCTCCTTCTTTTCCTTCCAGTGATCTGAGTTTCAAATCTAGGCCTTTCATGTATTAGGCAAGTAGTACTACTACTGAGCTTTACTCCAAGACCTCATTTTGACATTTCAAATAGTATTTTTTCTCTCAACATTAAATTGCCTGGTTTTCTGCTGTTAAAGTTATCCTTGTCTTCTTTTTCTTTTTAAACTTTATTTTATTTAATTAACTCTTTAAAATTTATTTATTTTACATACTGATCGCAGTTCCCCCCCTCTTCTCTTCCAGCCCCACCCCTACTATTTTCTTCTCCCTTCCCTTTCCACTCCCCCTTGCTTTAGACTCAGAAAGGTGCAGGACACCCATGGGCTTGAACAATGAACAAAATATGGCACAACATTCTGGAAGCTTGTTATGATTTCAAAGCTTCAATCAATTTATTTTTTCAATATATATATATATATATGTGTGTGTGTGTGTGTGTGTGTGTGTGTGTGTGTATACATATATACATATTTCTTATTTTATGTATAGATCCCAGTTCCCCCTCCCTCACATGCTCCATGTCCCCCTCCCATCCTATTTCGCCTCCCACTCCACAGGGAGGGTGATGCCTTCCAGGAGGGATCATCTAAATCTGTAAAGTCATTTGGAGTAGGATCTAGGCCCTCCCCTCTCCCTCTAGGCAAGGGGAGTATCCCTCCATGGGGAATGTGCTCTCAAAGTCCTTTTGTGCACCAGGGATACATCCTGGTTCCACTGTCAGAGGTCCCTTAGACTGCCCAGGCCTTCTAACTGAGACCCACATTCGAGGGTCTGAGTTAGTATAATTCTGTTATCCCAGCTATCAGTATGGGGGTCCATGAGCTCCCCCTTGTTGAGGTCAGCTCTCTCTGTAGGTTTCTGTAGCCTAGTCTTGACTCCTTTTCTTGTCACTCATTCCTCTCTACAACTGGATTCTAGGAGTTTGCCTCAGTGTTTGGCTGTGGGTGTCTGCTTCTGTTTCCATCATCTACTAGATGAGGGCTCTATAATGGCATATAAGTTAGTTATCAATCTCATTATCAGGGAAGGGCATATAAGGTAGCCTTTCCACTGTTGCTCAGATTT